GCTTTTCCACATTTAATAGTGTAGACGGCCCTGTATTAAGAAAAAAAAAGGATATGCTGCTGATTAAGTTCATTTTAGAAGGGAGATGTTTATTGAGATGTCATTAGCTGTATATATTCCAAGATACAAAATGAGGCTTCAGATATATTACACCCCTTGCAATTCAATTTACCAAATGCAACAATAGGAAAGAAAGATGATACACATTACTCTGAGGATCAAATCTAATACAACAAGAGTGAATGTGATAAATACATGCAAATCAAAAGTATTTAATATGATTTACACTCGCCTTCCAGTATTTTGAACAGCCAGCAGAGGGTGTAGAAATCTGGAGAGGTGAATGAATATCATGCATCTCATCTGCATTAATCTGTAACTGTCTCTTGAATTAATTTTCATTGGAAAAAATATAATTTAACAAAGCCCTCCTTACATTTCAAAAGACAAAGCTTGCATTTGTGTCAATTGTGTTGTTATACAAAAGGTCTTCATGGCATGTTTTTTTCTACAGATTCTAAAAAGTTTTGCCGGAAGGAAGATATTCTTGTGTTGTCCTGGTTTTTAGAGATATATGAATTTGTTACACGCAGAGGAGGAAGTATCTGTTGGACGCTCCTGTTCATTACAAAGGGTTTGTGATGCTTCATATCGTTAAAGCCAGAGGTAACACATCCTTCCACAGTCGAGTTAACCGTTTCCTGATGTTCACGCACTTGGCAGAGCTACAAAGAACCAGCAGCGCGTGATTAGAAAAACAGACCATCCAAAACAGGAGCATGGTGGGTAATTACGGGGGCACAGATGTCCTCAATGAAGGCCAGTGGAGAAAGTAAAAAACTGATATTTTGAAGCAGCATCAACACTGTTCAGTTAATGAGTCTATTATCTTAAATAATAGACTCAATTTGATGTGTGCAATCTGAGTGCTCTTATTCCTTCTTTCTCTGCTGTAATGTGTGCAAAGATGACACAGAAATTTCTCCACTGCAAGACGAATAAAGGTATATCTTATCTTATTTTATCTTTAATTTGCACTGGTTTTGTGAGAAAAGACAAGAAAGAATCAATATACAGGCAAATTGTTTAAAAAAGACATAAGATCAACCCATGGACTACTCACTCGAGCACCCGCCACAGTAAATCTGGCTGTAGCTACTCTAACTACTTAGTAAATCTGCTTACTTCACAGCGTACCCACTTGGCACAGATCAAGCCCACACTCCTCCCACCAGTGTCTAGAGCAAGTCACAAATCTGTTGTATCAAAATGATTTCTTAAAAAGGCTGCTTTGAAGCCATGCCTGCGATGGGTCCAAACTCTAGTGTGGCTCAGCAGCAGCAGAGCCTGAGCCACCGAGACATCAAGCCAAAGAACACTCTCCAACTTTTGAGGCTGTTGTTTTGCAAAATGGAAATGTGTCTGTTAAGTTTATATAACAATATGATTAGAGCCGGGTTTTTTTTTTTTAATGCATTGAGGAAATTTGCTGAGAAGCCACAAACTAAATTGGCGAAGCAGAAGACAAGAATGAGACAAATGAGATAAAATCCTTGATACTATGTCAATTAGTCATGAATGCCCTTTTGGACAATAAATGTTCATATTTAACTCCAAATAATAACACATTTCTTTTTAGGGTGTCACAAGGTAAATAAAAGTGTGTCTGATAAAGTTTATAATGTAGCTAAAGACAATTTTTGCAGCAGCTAGAGTCCTGACAGGAACCAGGAAGTATGACCATATTAGTCCGGTCCTCAGGTCTCTGCACTGGCTTCCTGTGGCTCAAAGAATAGATTTTAAAACGGCTCTGCTTGTGTACAAGTCTCTCCATGGCCTTGCACCAGAATACATTAGTGACATGCTGGTGTCATATGAACCGGCCCGGACTCTGAGGAGCACAGGGACTGGCCTCCTGCTGGTGCCCAGAGTGAGAACCAAACATGGGGAGGCTGCGTTTCAGATCCATGCAGCTAAGATCTGGAACAATCTCCCTGAAAATGTGAGGGAGGCGTCTACTCTGTCAATGTTCAAATCCAGGTTAAAGACTGTTCTGTTTGCCTGTGCATACAACTGAAGGATTTTATCTCCATTTTTAATGCACTGCTGTCATTTATTTATTTTTTTTAAATTTCTTGTGTAATTTTGAAAGTTTTAATGGTTTTATTCTTTTGTGTGATTTTAATGTTTTAATTGTGTTTTAATCTTTTGTGTGATTTTAATGTTTTAATTGTGATTCTGGTGTTTGTTTTATGTGATGATTTGTGATGTGGACTGTGAAGCGCTTTGTGTTGCCCTGTGTATGAAAGGCGCTCTACAAATAAACTTTGATTGATGATTGATTGATTGAATTTTTCATTACCCAAAGGTTGTAGTAGTTTTAGTAGTAGTAATTTATTTTCTTTGGCCAATAGGTACACCAGATCTCAGGTCACATGTTTTCAGAAATCACATATACAGTACATATATACATTTTACAACAAGAAAAAAAAAAAACCAGAATGTGTCCATAATGAACCTTAGTGCATTAAGGACTCTTGTATTGACAAGAAAGCATAAACAAAACACATTGCAAAACGTAACTAGGGAGGAGCAGGAACCAAACTGGGCAATCAGATAGAAAATGGCTAATGAGATGCTCATGTAACTACAAAGGAGCAAGTGCCCTTCGGGGGGAGCTATGCATCAGCTTCACCACAAACAACACAAACACAACAGGCCTTTATTTAACTGCAGCATGAAGTCATCGAGGTATGATCAAGAGACATAATGTGAGGTTACGCTAAAAGACACCAGCGTGCATCACTTCTGCAGATTATGAAATCAAGCGGGAAGGTAAAAATAAGGAGATCGGAGCAATGATGAAGGGAGAAGATATTTTTAAGTTAGTAATGGGGAGATCTGTGCTGCAGAGGATGAGAAATGGTGCTGATGAGTGAGAAGTGTGATTGAGGAGTATCTGACAGGGCTGGATTGAATCAGGGGATAGTCAAAGGGAATAATTGACAAAAGGGAAGTAATGCTGCTGACTGAGGAAAAGACTTGTGAAGGAAACTTTTGAAATAAAATACGATTAAGTGATCAGGATAAAATATGAATGATATTTAAAGCTGGAGTACTTAACTTTGAAATAAATTAATTTCACTAGTTCCTCGCTCTCAAAACACTTTGCTTCTATCACCGGGGTTCACATACATGTATTTTTGGCCTCAAATCTTCTAGATAACCCTTTTCAAACAGAAAAGTGACAAGAGAAGACCAACCTCCCTCAGCCAATCAGCTCTCAGTATGTCAATAATCCTACATTTCTAATACAGATAAAGCATGTTGTGGTGTGATTTTGTTTTCCACATAGTTGCTTTAACAAGACTTTCTGTTTAAAAAAGAAAAATGTATTTGTGGAGCAGAAAAACTTTAGGTACTCCAGCACTTGACTACTTGCACAAAGTTGTTCCAAAATGTATTTTATTTGCTATTACACATCTTTTCCTGCAAAAAAAATGAACCTTTGCAGGAAAAGACTGGGGCGACGGTGGCTCAGTTGGTAGCGCATTGGCCTTTGAGCCTGACGGTTGTGGGTTCGAGCCCTACTTCACATGGTGACTGCTGTCGCTGTGTACTTGGGCAAGACACTTAACCTGACTTTGCCTGAAGCCCCCGCTGAAAGATCTCAGCTCCTGTGGACTCACCACCTGCAGGAGGATCAGTGAGGGGCTGGTGCTAAGTGTACTGGGTGCAGCTCTGACTGCCCCCCAACCCAGAAATGGATTAAGGGGAAGAAAATGGATGGATGAACCTTTGACTTCTCCTACACAGTGAGTACTACACAGTGAATACACAGCAGTATTCACTAAGATTAATATTTCATTAGTGCACCGTAGGCGCTAAGACAGAATATGTATTTTCGAGCTCATTCAGATGGAGTGTACAGTTAGCTTAGAGGAGCTTGGCGAGAGTTTGCAGTTACATGGTCTAATTGGGTTTCCGTCCTTAATTAGGCCAATTAATTTAAAAATACAGCTGAGGCGGAGAGTCTCTACCAGGTCATTTAGGGATTACAAGAAGGGAAGAGTGAGGCGTGAAGGATCAGAAATGAGAAGCTTAGAAGCAAAGAGGTTACATGCAAAAAGTTCTTTGTGTCAGTAATGGAGTAGACTCATCCATTCTTCAGCAGCTCAATGTTATCAGTGCAGTGTCTGACAAACTCAGCGCCATTAACCATTTGAGGCACTTAAATCAAATCAATCACTTCTATAAAGAGTCAGTGGATTGTAAATAGAAGCCTGCTAATTTACACGATTTTCCATATGACGTTCATTGTTACTAATTTGACATGAGAGGCGAGTGCAGCGAAGAGGAAACGAGATGCAGAGAGATTGGAAAACACCTCGTACCTTCAATATGCACACAATACAAATAGTCTGAACTTGTTTGCTCCTTTGGATCTCCATAAAACATTTACAATACTAATGTAATTTATGGAATTATCATGTCTGAGTACATTTAGACAGTTGATTAAATGGTTGTGCAGTAACATCCCTCAGCCTGACAATGTCCTTCTCTCAGTAGTAATGGTTTGTGTGTTGCCAAGTTAAACATATAGCACTATGTCATCAAACAATTCCAAGAAATATTTGAAATCTAAAAAAGTATTTTCACGACATTTAGCAAATTAATGATGATAATTTCAGTCAAAGCAGTCTTACACACTTCTTCTAAAGTTCTAAAAATGACAAACCCAGGGGTCAAAAATGTTGGTTGATTTTTACAGATACTTGAACAACATGCAACACAACCTGAAAGTGCATGTATAAGTCCAGTACATACTGAACGGAGGCCATAAAACAATATATACAACAAAAAACTAGGGAGAGTAAAATGAACCTGCATCATTGAGTGAGACTATAAGTGATCTAAGCTAAAGTCCAGCCAACAGTTTCTTTCCATTAATCTCGCCTGAGTGAGGAAGAAAGTCAAAACCATGATGAGGAGTAAATTACCTCGACAAAGAGGAAGCAGGGCACGATGTAGGTGCTGGTCTTTATCAGGCCTTTGTCTCCAGGAGGGTTCCTCAAAAGCCTCCGCTGCATCGACACCTGGTTTTCCATCATCTGAGGGTCACAAGACATAGTTATAAGACATGTATTATTTTGTATGAAAGTGGAAGTAATTAGTTTGGTAGTCCAATAAAAGAAAGTTATTATTGAATTGAAACTAAGAATAATATTAGTGTTGTTAATGCATGTAGCTTTGCATGTAATTTAACAAATTGTGCTTTTGATGCAAAAATATGCTGAAATATTTATTTAGGCTTGAATCTTACATAAACTACATATATGCTAACATGAACATAGTGTGATACTACATTCCTTTTATCTAATTTCACTTGAACAAAAAAGTTTCCACCTAACTAAATGCATATGCACACAAAAAAACCACTTGGCTCTCAGATAAACTGGAAATGTAGGTATTTTCACACAGTGAATCTGGAGGGAGAGGCTGAGGCAGAGGAGGAGAAGCAGAGTGGTAACACAGGAGCTGTGATCAAAACAAACGGCTGACAGATAAAGATAAGAAGGAGACAAAGCCATGATGCAGATGTTTGGAGAGTTTTCAGAAGTGATGAGGAAGGAGAGAACCAAGCAAACTCAGCACTGGAGAAAAATTAATATGCAAAAAAAGAAGAAGAGCAAAGTGGAGAAGAACGAGAACTTTGGCAGCCTGAGGGCTTTTGAAAATGACTATTGGGAAATATATTCTGTGACCTTAAATAAGGATGTTTCTTATGAATTTCATTTATGGACGCAAGCTACTGTATATTTGACAAAGATTAAGATTAAAAGATCCTTTATTTGTCCCACAGTGGGGACATTTCTGCATCACCAGAGCAGTAGGAATGAGGAACACACTGCACAAGATAAGTACACATGTACACTGTCAAGCTGGGTCAGATTGAAATGCAATAAAAACGAGTAATAATATTGATAAGAAAGTTATGCAATATAATTATATGGACTGTTATGTTTTTATTTTTTTTGATAAATGATGTTCTAACCATAATAAACAAGATTTTGGTCAGGGCAAAAATGTATTCTAGGCTAGACTTTTATACCACATTATATTTTTTGAAAGTTTGTTTGTCATTAAGGAGATAATATTTAATTCTCTTTGAATTGGACTAAAAACAAGACCAAAGGGAAGGAAGGCCTATGATAGGCCAGTTTTTTTATTTTGTATTTAATTATTACTAAGGTCATGTTGGATTCATTTTTTTTAGAATAGAATAAATTATATTGCTGATTTCTCAGAATTTGCTTTATGTATAATCCAGACTACAACCTCTTACAACCGAATAATTGAGACTCATTTTCACGTCAATAAATCCTGGATTAAAGCTCAAAGCTCACTAATTTACCATAGTTCTTTATTGAAAGAATCATGTGGTTTTGGTTTGTGATGTCCGAGAGCACAGGATGTATTTTCCAAAGGCACACATAGAGGACACTGTAGGCTTAGATTTTGCTGCCAGACACTATCTCTTCAAATATGACATTCTGTATGAAATCATAATTTTCACATTTCAGTGTGGTCTTTTGTACCTTAAAGGCACAGCACAGAATGTGATCATAATGGTACAATGTATGATTTCAAATAAGCCCTGTGCTGGTATTGTTTTTTCCAGAAATCTGGCAACACATTGCTGATTCTGATGTTTCTACTGCTCAAACTGATACAAAGTGTTAAGGTTTAGGTAGTAAACCTAAACCTCACTACACCTGTACTAAATGCGCAGGATTTCACCAAAGAAACTGGAAACCCAAATGAGGACCTCATTCTGATTGGTTACTATAACAATGTCAACATAAATGTTATGGCCATCATATCCTTTGTATTGTATTTACAAATACATTCACATTAAATGATTTAGGATAAAATACTGTGATTTGTAAATGAAAAATAACAAATTCTTATCGTCTGCCAGAGAGACAAGATGCTCTCTGAATTGTCCCGTCTGCGCTCACAGAGGAGCGATCAGGCTCTATGTTTCTGTGACTGATTTTCTCTTGTGTTGCTGTTATTCACTATGATGTGCATCCTTAAGCCTCGCTCTGGCACTCTGTGACAAAAGAGCGCCTCACTGGCTCCCTGGCACACAAAGCCTACACACTGGACTCAAACACACACTTGTACTACACAGATCCAGGACTCAAACATCCGTCATTACAGCAGTCATTACACAAGTCAGATGTTGTGCCAACAAGTGGCTGCATGTCCGAGTTCTGACATGACAGCAAAAACGAATGAGAAGAAAACCAGGAGCAGACTCCAGCTGTGCTGCACCACAGCTTCACTAATATGGGTCATGATGATTACATGCATGGACATATTTATGCTGAGAGAGAAGGTTAAAATCACTGCTCTGGAGAACTCTCACCTCTCTGCTGATTCCTCTCAGTAGGTTTTTATCTTGCAGAAAATGAACATGATGAAGTCGCCTTGTGCTCTCAGTGCTCCTCTGTTCGCTTCCTTCTGCTTTCTTTTGAAGCGACGCGCTCCGCACTTACGACGATGTGCCAGCGTGAAATCCCTCTGTTCTATATGTGAATAGAAAAGATAGAGAAATTGTCCAGTGTGAGGCTCCTACCCCCTGCCAGTCGAGCTGATGTGGGTCTCCACTTCATCAGTAGGTCAGCAAGCTAAATATAATGGGCTTCTGTGGCACTTCAAGGATAATTAGTCAAGTGAAGAATCCACGGCTCAAAGAAAGAGGCTGCATCGTGCAGTTGCCGGCGGATGCAAGGATAGCATGAGAGATGAGAGGAGAGAGAGGATGTGTGTGAGAGACGAAAAAGCAAGGAGGAGGAGAGAAGAGAGTGGGAAGAGAGAGAAAAGAACAGTGGGATAGTCCGAGTGTGTCACATAAGAACATGGTCCACATAAAGCACTTTGATTCCACTACATCACTGAACTGCATGGAGAGAATGGTCAACAGTCAGATTGTGAAATGCAAGTGAAAGAAAAGGATAACGTTTGTAAAATTGCAGTGCTCCTAAGTTGGGCAATTAAAGGTAATAGCACTTTTAGTGCAAAGGTTAATAAATCAAATGTAATCATCAGTAGCAAAATGAAAACTGCATGGATCCCAGCCTTGAAAGAACATTGTCATTATTAAGCTTTGTTATGGCACAGATGTGACTATAGTTCCTATAGTAACGGGTGAAATTCAAAGCAGCTCTGACCCAGCCCCTGCTGTTAATCCACATGTAATTTTCCAGTGATTAAATGCTACACATTTTGTTACAGTCTACGTACTGAGAACAAAAAAATCACCTATGTAAATGCTTAATGACTAGATGATTAGACACAATTGAGTCTCATTGTACTTTCATACTTTATTTTGTTTTATTTTATTTATTTGTAAATGTCTGGTTAGAGCAACACCATGAGCAATTATTTGTTATGCTGTCAAACATGTATTTTTGTACAGTCTGTGAGTAACAGTGGCTCATGGATGCTGCAAGAGCATATGAAAATGTGCAATGTATTTCTTGAGAATGTAGAGTTCTTCATTATCAGCCATGAACTCATATTATACAGTCGGGAAGTATTTTTATCCTGAATGATGTCACCAAACAAATATGTTTCCCCTGAACTACGGTGAAGTACACAGCTGGATAAGAGGAATTGATTTCAACTCAAGGACAAACAGTAACATACATACATACACAAAGATAGAAATGATGTATTTCAGAGATAATAATGGTTACCAAAACAGCGATTTTCACTCATTATTTTTGTGGTCGTGTGTAGCCATTCATAGTCAAATAAATGTGTGTTCTATTCCAAATTATAAAGGCGATGGAAACTCCCCAATTTCCCCTGGTTAGAGGTTTACTCATACTATGACAATTGGACTGTTTTTTGTTATTGTAGATAAGGTTCTTTATTTTCTCTGATGGTAAAGCTGCCCATTATAATTGGCAAAATCCTCTTGTTCCAAAATTCCTGGAGTGCCTTGCACAAACTCCACATTTGAGATCATCCCCAAGTGGCTCGTTTATGTTATAATTTGAAAATAGAGATCACACTTACAGTATTAGACAATATGTGGCAACACACAACCACAGATTGGTGTTAACCTGTTTTTGTGTTATCATCAACAATCTTCAAAATATGGCCAAAAATGGGACAAATCCCTCAATGGGGAAAGAAAGAATACAAGCCACTGTGTAATATAGGTCTATATTTTCTTTATTCAACACAAAACAGACCTTTTTCTTATTAATTTAGTGTTTTTTTTTTTTTTACTGTTTTAATAATATGTCATTATTTTCACTTGCTGGATATGTTATAAATACATGGAATGAGAAATGATACAACTCTTAAAAACATGCTATAATCTCAATGACATATTCCTGGTTCAAAGGAACGTTAAACAAATAATAACCAAGCTGAACCAAGTTTTTTTGTTTGTTTTTTTCTAGAGGATGGGAGATTCTATTATTTACAGTCACACCCTTAAGTGACCCCATTCCGGTCATATGTCTCACATGGGCTATTTGACACTGAGTTATGGACTTTGAACAATAAAACAGCTTCAAACTGTATGGGGAACATTCACTGCACTTGAAAGCAGACAAAGAGAAGCGCTTCCAACGCATGGGTTCACGGGTACAAAGGAATACAGTCTTTGTTGTCGGAGAATAACAAACACCTCTTTTATCAGTACAAAGGCAGTTGGCCAAATTGTCCACGGAGAGCAGTGTGATATGTTTGCACGACTGCCTCAGTATATCTCTGGTCATGTGAACACTTCAGAGAATGCCGTGTCAGTCGATGTGCTCATTTATACCGTACACAGCCAAGGACATTCCAACTGCAGTGCCATAAAAATTAATCCCTTTTTTCATTGACCATCTCACAACTAGCCCTAAGCCAAAATTTGATATAGGGCTGCGACTGACAATTTTTTTTGTAGACTGCCATTTTGTTTTATTACGCTGCTAACAAAGGGGTTTTGCAATCAAAATAATAATGGAGTCAAAATAATGAGTCAAACTCTGATCTGACAACTATGACACAAATAAAAAACAATACACACATCGCCGCTTTGGTATAAAAGCTGCAGAGTTCGAAGAACTAGTAAAAAGTAACGGCTTATAGTCCGGAAATTACGGTAATTGTTATTTGAATGCAACAGGGTGAGTCAAGGTATCGATATATATTTACATACATCTCAGACCGATTTGCATAAACTCATGATATAATGAGACATGCAGGTGATAGACACTCCACCAGTAAACATGGAAAATGTATCTTGTAGTCTCACCTGGGCAATGGCCATTGACTGACGGTCCGACTTCATTATGTGACAAGACATAGCACTCTGGGGAAAAACAGAAACAATTGTTGAAAACAAAAGCATAAAGCTTTGTCAAACATGCAAAACAATAAGACAGTGTCTGCAGAATCATCGGACAGCACTGTAGACGCAAATAATTGGTAGATTATAGTATGTTTCAGTCCCTCCCTCTATTAACACCATAGTGTGCCTCACTTCTACTGGTTGCTAGTATTACAATTTCTGACACCAAGGAAGACATGATAATGGGGACAGCACTTTATCTAATTTTCAATCTAACTTGGTCTGATAACAGTTTGGTTCCATCAAGGGTTTTCACATGCATTTTTTGTTGTCATTGTCACATTAGATCAGCTTTGCAGGCAGAAAAATGAAAAGCTCTTTCTTATAACAAGTATGAAAAATATGAAATGTTTCCTAATAACACAAAGAGAGCATTGTGGGTTAGATTGTTTAAAACATTGTACTTTTACAAAACTCTCTCTGCGGGGACATTACTATTTATGACACAAAAAGTTAGATACCACAGCTTTAAATGATGTCTACATTGAGAGATCATGAATAATTAATCGCCACCAGGAGGGCAGACAAAAATAAAGCTGTTTGGATACGCCATCGGGTACGCCCATGTGCTGCTGCCACTGCTCTGAGTCCAGTAGACATCAACAATACGGAATCAGTAATTAGCTTGGCAGTTGAGTTAGCCAAAGTTAGCCGCTAGCTGGTGTTAGCATGTAGTCTGGAGGCTGGACTAGAATGATTGGAGTCAGGTAACCACCATAGACTGTTTGCGAGGCACTCCCCCAGCAGCAGCACCAGGATCACACAGAGGGAGGGGAGCCGTCACAACTTTTCAGCAACAATGCTCAGAATACCGCCATTTACTACCGGATAAACTTTCTCTGCATTTAATTAAAAAAGTTTGCATCGGGAGATAGCGGGCTAAGCTAGGTGTCGCTGTCCACGTGACGAGCCTCGCGACTGGAGCCAGGTCAGTGCAAGAGGATACTCAGGTGTATTTTTTTTTTTTTTTAAGCTTCAAAATCTACTGTTTTTGGTCTATTTTGTTTGATATAACGAGTAGTTAAAAGTGCCTGACTTTTTTTTCTTCCTCTTTTTAGTGTCTTGGAATATATCAAAGTAAAAAGTTACAGGACATACGGGTAAGAGCTCCACAATTTTCCTTTTATTAACATTACTTAATCTGGGGTATCTAACTTTTTTTGTGTTTCATCAAGACTATATTATCCCAACACAAACAGTTTTGTATAAGTCAAATAAAATCTTTGTCTTATTAGAAAACTATTTTTTTTGCATTGCCTTTGAGTTAAGTGGTCCCCTCTTTTTCACTGTTCTGTCTGTAAAAAAGCTGATCTAAATATGTGACACAAGATACAAATAATATAATATGCATTGTGTTTTGAGAGCAAGTTCTCTTAGGTGGATTTTATGACATAAGTATCATTTTTTGTAGTTTGAAAGTTAGGTACCCCAACTACACTGTCTCAAACTATTTGTAGTGAGCACAGCAGAGATAATTGGCATACCCCTCTCCAATGGACATTACTGGTGGACTCAAGTTGCATTTTTAATGTTCTCTCTCTGTTGTATGAAATGGAACAGATCCTTGGTATTCACGTGTGTATTATTTTTGATATTCAGTCCTTTCATCTTATGTTAATTTGATCTCGAAATAGCTGTTTTTGCGTGCTTATTCTTTCCCTGTTTGTTATGTACTATGAAGACTGAAAGCATGTTGCAAGTAAGCCATTCACTTCTATTTGCCTGGTCTCTGATAGATTTACAGTAATATTGTAAAACATTGGACAACTTTCAACCAAGCTTTTGACACGTTTGGTTTTTTGTACCGTAATTTTTCCGACCTGTCTGCTTAATGTAGAAATAAACTTCTGGTTCAAGATTTTTTTTTGACTGTAATGCTCTTCTCAGTTGATGCTTTAAAATAATCTAATAAAAAGATAATTCCAACTTTAATCTGAAGTCAAAAGGGACTGCTTACAATGCATGTAGATACTGATTAACAAGTTGCCATCACAACAGGAACTCCTGACAGGGCTGTTCTGCTGCTGCCGGCCGGTGGAGCTGATGGATTTACAGGGCAGGGTGCCTTTCAGGGTCTCGCTCATAATTCCCAGGGCTCAAGAATTAACATACCGGTAAATGTGTCTTCCATTTAAAGCATAAAAAGGGCTTGCAGCCATTCAATAGAGATTGCTTGATGTTAATGGAATCATCAATCATACCAGCTATCTCCGTGCTGCTTCCTCCGCTCTATATTTGTAATCTATGACACCAATGGATAAATATTACTGTTTAAACATTTATAATTGCAAAATTCATCAAAAGGATTTATCTTTTCAAATTATAATTTTGATATGCGCTTGCCCATTAGTTTGGGATTCAAAAAATATCTCGGAACTTTTATTGATAACTTTTTATGGGATAAATGCGAAGAGGCTGCAATTATGATTTGGTTAAAAGCTCTTCAAAATGTATTTTTTGAAAAGCTAGTTGTGAATATTAAATACAAAAACTTAGTTTGTAGTTCAGAATTTCAAATGTTGAAATATTATCACCTAATATTATCTGACAAGTAGTTTTGGCATTGCAGTAATGGAACCATGACCATCTGTGTGATCGGCACCCTCCCCACTCATCACAAATGTTATCTCTTAAATCACATTGAAATGAGTGAGCGAGACTGTCTAGATAAGAGCAGATCAGAATGTGAAAATGAACCAAGTGGAGACAAAAATGACATTATAGGGCACAGAATAACAAAATCCACCTCCTCTTTGGCTGAAGGATGAATGTTCAAGAGGGAAATTCTTCGCTGACAAATTGCCCTCTAGCAGATCTCTCGTCTTTGCAGCACCACTTCTTTTTGGTTTACAGCTTAATAAATTCTCACGCTTAGTATAGACTCTGAAGAACTGTTGTGACTGCTTTTATATTGTTATAGATAGCTTTCTTCAGTTGTTTCAAACACTCTGGATTTCCTACATTTTATAATGAAGTAATCTGGCACAACAAATATCCTGCAGAAACGGATTTACATTCTTGTAATACTCAAGCCCAATGTATCTCAAATTGCAGCCATTTTGTAGTAAAATTTCTTCCTCATGAGCTAATCTGCATTATGTCACGTATTTGGCGTAGCATACCTGAGCTGCCAGCCACTCCCAAATAGTCATGTATGGACAGTGGCTTAGTTTTAAGGACTCATCCGTTTGTCTTTTCCTCACAAAAGGCCATGTTGAGACAAGCCAGCTCATTTTAGTAATTGTTCTGTTTGTGGGCTTCTGTTGCCAGTGCGGCATTTTTTTAATCTGTTGACTTAAAATGTCAAATCCAAATTGACAAGAAGATTTTTGTCACTGCTATTAAGACTAAAATTTTCCACCTTTTTTAAAGATCAGATTTTCCTTGCATTTTGTACTTACCAGTAGATGTTAAAAACTGGTTACGACCTCAGTGATTGCATTCCCAGCTTTGAAAATGTCTGAGTTTGTTTTGTAATTGTAGTTTAAGAAGCTGAGTTAAAGTCTGGAATGTGTCCTGCTACCAAATTAATTCAACACAGTATTTTATTGATAATGCCAAGCAGAACTAAGCCTGCATAATGTTGTGATGAAATGTACGTTTGTGTTCGGAGGCAGTCATAGAGGGGTAAAAAAAGCCTGATTCTTGCCAACATTCAGTGAAATTCTGGTTGTTTTCCAATGAAGATGTAAAATGTGCAGTTAATAGACAAGGGAAATTCTTTGCTGCTGCCAATTCATGAATAATTTGCAAAATGCACATTTGTAGTTGTATTACTGCAATTGCCAGCAAAGTGTGCATGGCTTGTTTTTTGTTTCTGAATTTTTAGCTTAAATGCAATATGTTTTGTATTGGAATTTTTTCCACAACAGTGTTCTGCTGGTGCTGGTCCTACCTTTGGCCATATCATTTTCATATAATGCTCCAGAACCTGGTTAGGTCCAACTTTCTGTGCTGAATATTGACAGTGGTTTTCTGTGCGTCACAGCAGTGGCAATCTCAGTCTGCTGTTTGCAGTGCCATCACAGTTTGTTTAATTTCCACACACTGCTTCATAGTTAAGCAGGCTCTCCTGCTAACTATAAAAATACATCTCTGTGGATGACTTCGTAGCTCCATGTGTCATTTAAGCATTTAACAGCCAGTGTCAGTTGTCTTAGAATTTGGAAACTACAACATGGTGTTGTCAACCCTTAGCAGAGTAACGTTTTCACAATTGGGAGCTATATATTCAACGTTTTGATAGTTGTAGACATTCTGTAGACATTTGAGTGTGTAAGTAGCTACCAGCTGCAAATAAATCTTCCAAATGGGATAAGTTAATCATTTTTTAAGGAAAAATCATTAGCTAAACAGCTGAAAGCTTCAGATTGACATGGATATTGACTTAAATTGAGTTAGTTGGTCTGGAATGTAATTTTGTTTGTATAGTAAGAAAAAGAGGAAGTTAAACAAACATTAGAATGTCTCGCAAGGCGTTTACAGTGCAACTGGTGCTGTTCTTCCAAAGTCCGAAGTGAGCCTAAAGCGGTTCCACTGTGCATCAGGAGAACTGTGTTTATTTGACATGTGTAATAGTGGCTCTGAGGCCCACTGCACAGCGGTGGCTTTGAATCCTTGACAATTGTGACAACGAACCGAGAACACCAGTTCTAAAATTCTCTTGTTACAATTTCTTGGATTCCACTTAAAATGCAAATAAGATATCTTTGTTTGTGAAAAATGTAATTGGGTTTGAATACTTTAGGCACTGTGTCTAACTTGGATAAATCTCATTGAGATTAAAAGATGCTGAATGTACACTTCCTTTCCTTGTTTACTTAGTGATCCATTATTTTAAAACCTGCCCAAGTTTTTCTCCAATTATTGCCTTCAGCCTGGCCCTGATGTGCCACTTGGTGACTGATTAAAAAACACAAAGTCTGCCCAATGTGCTCTCCCTGCAGTCACATATTGGCAGAGTACAACAGGAGAATAGCCATTTTTTTATAACTCAATTACTCCTAAATAACTCCCCTCTGATTTCTACAAATAAAGATTTGTATCGGTTGTTTCGGTTGAGACGAGGCCATTAATGATAACCATGTGTTTTCTACCCCAAGAACATTAAAAAAAAACCTTATTAACCTTTTTTTTTTAAATATACTATTGATCCAGCCTCGCCTAGTAACTTTGAAGATTTGTCTCTAGACGCCCATTTTTTTTCAAGAGTTGTGGGTCGGGGTCCACAAATCCTCGCCGAGGAGTTCCACATCCTTCCATGAAACTGACAATGGGTGGATTGCTATTTTTAGAATGCATGTGAAGGTATATTGTCAAATTGTGACTGATAAAGTAGGAGAGAGGGAAGAATATCACTGAAGTTACAGAGCATGATCTTGTATCCAAGGCTTTGCACATGATAATAAGGTCACTGTCTTGTACATGGCATTGTGGCCCTATTCACATTGTCTTGTTTATGAAACTCAGATATGCACTCAGAATTTCACATCCACTTGTGTCTGTTCTCAGTAGACGCTGTGTCTCATTATAAAACTACAAAATGTAACCCTGAATGTGGTTACAGTAACAACAATAGCCTGATAACCTCTGCCCTTCCTTTTGAAGTTATGACATTTGTGAGGTCAGTGAGCAGAAAGTCATGTTTGCCTAAAAGATTTTTGCTTTAAAAATGGTTGCAATGTTTTAATATTCAATTGCACTGCCCGTTTCCCAACC